ACACTCAGAGTCTAGCGCTGCACTGAAACAGCCTCCCAGAGGCCAGCGCCATACACCCAGATGCAGATCATGAACAGCGAAGTAGTCCTCAGTGCTGATGAGTCACTCTGACGATGAAGAAGGCAGCTATGGCTGCCTGACTGCTACCGCAACAGCAATACCCACATGTACTCAATGAAGACCCTCCGATAGTCCTGCCAACCGCAGATATCCCCTGGAGATAGATGCGCCGAGCACAGCCCCAGCTATGGCTGTCTCAGGTAGGCCGGCTATGGCTGCTTCACTCCGCTGATGTCGCAGGTGCCGCTGTAGACATTTAGCACTGCTCAACTTCGTTGGCCACGAACCCTGCCCGCGAAAAATGTATAGCCAAAAGTCCCTACTCGATTCCCCTACAGGACTTATAGACTTCCTACACTAGCCTAGACCTAGACCGGACTGACTGGACCTACCGGTACCACTGCTGTTTCGGCCTCTCGGCCTCTACCGGACCCGGCTATAGGCTATAGGACCGTATAGCAGTATAGGCCACTTAGGGCCTGTTTGTCCTAGGGTAGCCCGGGCCTGCTATAGGCAGTTAGGGTAGCTGTAGGAACCCGGTTAGTACCAGGTCTGTAATTTTGCCGAAAATTACAGATCTGTCCCTCACGAATTTCCACACAGGCGGATCTCTTGGTTAGCCCTTAGCCAAACAAAATTGCAAAACTAACCCTACTGGTTAATGTACAGCCTCGCAGTCAATCACGGCAGCAGAAATCAGCAAGTCATTGCAGGCTTACCCTCCCCGGGAGCGAGGACCTCCGAGCTAGGGGTGCAGACGAGGTGAGCGGCGAAGGTCACCCTTCTGAGCCGCCTCATACCGCAAAACAACAGACTTAGCTGTCTTGATTAGGTCTCTTTTGTAGAACCACCGGTTCTCAGAAGGGGGTTGAAATGCAAACCTGACAAGATACTGCCGGTCGGGGCCAGTGCCGCACTCATCCTCAATGGCCACCACATCATATCCCTTGCCAGGGATTGGTGGGCCCCATTGAGGGGGCCAGTCAGGGAATGCATCAGCTGGCGTAAAAGGTAACAGCTTAGATGCATGAAAGACCGGATAGGTTCGTAGATGTAGCGGAACGTCGATGACGTACGACGGACCGAAGGGATCAGCGCCCACTGTATCTAGAACCTGCCACGGACCCAGGTAGCGCGGCAACAGCTTGGGAGAAATATCCTCCTCCCTCGACAACTCAGAACTGGCCACCCAGACATAGTCAGCAGTGCGGTAGGGGGAAGGCCGCCTGTGGCGGTTAGCCTGTTCAATCATGGCCTTTTGGGCCTTTAACAAGTTCGCTCGGGCTCTTTCCACATCCAGACGATAGCGTCTGGCGAACTCTGCAGTGCCTAGGGTAAGGTCAGGCTTAGCCTTGTCGATGATATCATCGAGAGGCTGTCGTGGCTGACGTCCCCAGTGTAGCCGGTAGGGACTGAATCCTGTCGAGGAGTGGACAAACATGTTGTACATGAGATGTGCCCTCGCCAAGTGGAGATCCCAATCCTGCTGATCTGGAGAGATCACAGGGCGTAGCAACTGGAACAGGACTTGGTTCATCACTTCAGCCAATCCATTGGCTTCAGGATGGCGAGCAGAAGTCATGTCCAGGCGTGAGTGCAGATAGTCCTTGCAGTAGGACTGCCACTCATCGCTGCAGAATCTGGGGTCTCGATCACTAACAATAGAAGTGGGCGGTCCATGGTGGGTGACCCACCTCTCAGAAAAGGCTGCTCTCACAACCGGTACCCTGGCTACCTCTGGCAAGGGGATGAACTCTTCGTATTTGGAAAACCTGTCCACACAGACCATACCCTGACGCATGCCACGAGGGGTAGTCTTGCCTAAGTCTGTGAAGTCAATGGATACAGACTGGGCAGGACCATCAGGTATGGGCAAAGGTTTGAGCAATCCCAAAGGAGGTTTACGCTGAACCTTATTCCTTTGGCAGAGCTCACAGGTGTCCACATAGCGCAGCATATCACTCCGCATCTCCTTCCAGAAGAAGCGCTGCGACAGGGCTGCATACGACTTTAGGAACCCAAAGTGTCCACGCGCATCGTGGCACTCTGACATCAGCAGTGTCCGCAGCTGCTGATCCTCAGGGATGCACAAGCGCTCCTCTCCTTTGCTGTAGGTATACAGCAGATCTGAACTCAGGGCATAGCCAGGTTCAGAGTTGGGATCTGCTTGCAGATTCCTGACGATGGGTCCATAAGTCGGATCCTGAGGGAGTGAACGAGCAATGGTCTGACGGACCTCCTCTCCAAAGGAATGAGTAGAGGAGATCAGCGCAAGAGAGTCAGGCCTACGAGAGAGGGCGTCAGCTACTTTGTTGTAGCATCCCTTCTTGTGTTTCAGTTCAAAGTCAAACAAATCAATGAACTAAATATAACGTGCCAACTTATCATTTAACTCTCCCTGGGACTTCAACCACTGCAAAGTGGAATGATCAAAAAAGATCTTAAAGTGCCTGCCCAGGAGAAAGTTTTTCTAGTGTTTCAGGGCACTGACAAGAGCATAAAGTTCTTTCTCGTAGGTAGAGTCTTGAAGCTTCTGAGTCTTGATCTTCTTACTCATGAACTCTACAGGTCTCAGACCATTCCCATCATCCTGCTGAAGGACTGCCCCAATGCCATACTGGCTAGCATCAGTAGTCAGCACAAAAGGCAAGGTGGGGTCAGGCAACTTCAGAACAGGTGCATGAGTCAAGGCTTGTTTGAGTCGTGCAAAGGCCATCTGACAGTGAAGGGACCAAAGAAAGGGAGTGTCTTTCTTTGTGAGGTTAGTCAGGGGTGCAGCCGCTGCAGAAAAGTTCCTGACGAACTTTCTGTAGTAGGAGGCCAGACCCAAGAAAGACCGAACATCTCTCACTGTCTGGGGCTGTGGCCAATCCTGAATAGCAGCAACTTTGGCTGCTTCAGGGGCCAGTCCATTTCCAGAGATTACATGACCCAGATAGATAACAGAGGGAACTCCAAAAGAGGACTTCTCCCTGTTGATCTTATACTGGCTGTCACGCAACGACTGAAGAACCAAAGCCAGGTGCTCCGCATGTTCCCTGGTAGTTTTGTTGAATACCAGGATATCATCCAGGTAGACAACCATAAACTTATCCAGGTACGGCCTGAATATGCGGTGCATCTCACTCTGGAATGTGCCAGGTGCATTGCAAAGTCCAAATGGCATCACCAGGTACTCGTAAGTACCATACCTGGTTTTAAAGGCCGTCTTGTGGACGTCCTCGTCTGCCATCTCAATCAAGTGATAGCCAGACTTGAGGTCGACTTTGCTGAAAATAGTGCAGACCTGGACCATGTCCAGCAGGTCATCGATCCTAGGAAGTGGCTCTGTACTCTTCCTAGTGATCTTGTTGAGACCCCTGTAGTCTATGCACATTCTGAACTCGCCACTCCCCTTTGGAACAAAGAGGATTGGAGCACCGAATTCAGAAGTGTTGGGCCTGATCCAGCCTCTGCTGGTCAGGGTCTCAAGCTGTCGCCTGAGCTCCTCAAGCTCAGCAGGTGACATCCTGTAGATGCAGCCCTTGGGAGGGACCGCTCCAGGCAGCAGCTCAATGTGATGCTTGGTTGGCCGGTTGGGTAACCCAAAGGGCTCCTGCATCTGATCAGCGTACTGGTCCACAACCTGCTATATCTCAGGAGGACAGGGAGTAGTAGGAGCGTCTGTCTGCTTGACCAGAGCTATGAACAGGCGTTCGTGGTCATACTGGCGTGAGAGAGCATAAAACTCTCTCGCTCTCAAGCAGAAGCAGGAAGTCTTAGGGTGGTGATCAGTTGCAATCATACAAGGTTGATACACCCCCTTGCTGTTTGACAGCTCAACCTTGGGGATCTGCCAGTCGAACCTTGGGTTGATTGCTCTCAGCCACTGCATGGAGAAAACCAGCTCAAAGGGTAGATAAGGGAAGATGTAGAAGTTCAGACTATGTCTGACTTCTCCAGCGCTGTCGAAGGTGATAGGGATACCCCTGACCTTCTCCCTGATGGTCAAAACAGTGGAGTCGCCTATCCTAACCTGCAGCGGTTGCTGCAGTTGCACCACTTTCATGCCCAGATGCAGTTTTTGGACTGCACTGGGAGACATGAAATTTCGGGTGGCTCCACAGTCCAATAACCCCTTGATCATGGTGTGGTTGATCAGGAGCCGGAGGAGTATGAGTTCAGACTTGTTCTGCTTTTATTCTTTCAGATGAAAGAAGAAAGCAGCAAGAGCCTGACACTCAGACTGATCCGGTTCCTGATCCAAGTCAGGATCCTCATAGATGAAGGATGCTGCCCGCGCAGTCCCCGCACTGGGTAGGAAGGAACAAGTCTCAATTGAATCTGTTGCGGATGCAGATGCAGGTGCAGCACTGGAGGGAACTGCAGCCTCCAGGTTCAACTTCAGTTTTTTGATTGAGCTGGGCTAGGCATGTAGGGATAGTCCTTCAAGAAGTGTTGTCCCTCACACCTCAAGCAGACACCTCTCTCCTTCCTCTTCCTCCACACTCCCTCCTGGATCTTCAGATCATGCCATGGGAGAGTGTTGGGGTTCAGAGGGTCTGCTGGAAAGTGGTCGTCACGTGGCAGGTTAGGGCGCCGGGCAGGGGTTGAAGAGCGACGTCCCTGACTCTTCCCCTTGCTGCTGGAGGTTGTGCTGGAGGTAGACCCGACCTTTTGGAAGGCCCCTAGCGCAGCCTGCAGCTGCTGAACAACTGCTGCAACATCCGTGACAACAGCTGAAACAGTCCCAGCTGGCGGTGTACCAAGCTGGGATCCTGTCTCAGAGGCTGACCCAGAGCCCGCATATGCAAAGGCCGCCTTTCCCCTTCTACCACCACGAGGGAAGGCGCCTTTCCTCCTGTCACTGGAGGGGGCCTGGACATGAAGCTTGGCTTCCATGTCCAGTGCTGCGCATCCAAACGATCGCCAGTCTTTATGTCCGGCGCTGTACAAAGCAACACAAAACTTTTCAGGCACAGCCATGCAAAAGTTAGTCAATAAATCATCAGCAAACATAACCAATCCAGGGGTGGAAGTCAGCTGCTCAAATTCAGCAAATAAGGCCTGCAGACTGCCGCTGTAACGCTGCTGGCCCAGGCTTACTATTTTATCAGCAGCTTTGCGGACTCTCTCTTTGTCTGCAAACCGGTCTTTCAGGGCCTGCAAAAGTTTGTCAGCCCCCAGTGCCAGGGCCCAGTCCTCCAAAGTCTGATTCTGGGCGCTTGCTGTAGAGGTAGCCCATTTCTGGGCAGGCCCCTCCAGCAGCCCCACAACAGTGGCCACCTTTTGCTGCTCTGGGCACTGGAACCCTTTCAGATAGGCCCGGGTTCCAGCTGCCCAGTCCCCCACATCAATCTTGGGGTCATCCCCCTTAAATTTGTTGGGGGCAGGAATCTTGGGGCCTCGCTGGTCCCCAGCAACAATCGCAGCAGAGGTGGGAGGAGGTGTGGCCTTGGCCTGGGAGGAGACAAAGGGAGAAGGTTTGTGTGAAGAATGAGGGGATCCAGGAGGTGGAGAAGGGGGCTGAGAAGGTCTTTTGGGCTTGGGAGTGGAGACCACAGGAACCAGGGGACTGATGACGTTGGCTGCTGTTAACTGAGCAGTCAAATTTCGGATCGAGTCTAGGATCTTTGACTGCTAAGTTCCCAGGTCAGCCACCCTGGTCTCCAGCCGCTGAATCCTCTCATCCCAGTTTGTGAAGTGGCTGGCTGTCAGCTTATCCTGCAAAATTATCAGCTCAGCCAGGTCCCTAGTACACTGGGTCACTCTACCATCTGCAAAAGTCTTCTGAGCCTGCTGCAACAGATGCTCTTTTCTGGAAGCATCTGTTGCAGCTTCCAGTCCTGCTGCCTCTTGTCTCTCTGCCTCTGCGAGCAACGCCTGTTGCTCTCGCAGTTTCTCTTGGATCTCCTTCTTACGTCGCTGCGCAGGGGTCAGAGGAGGGGGAGGTGTTGTTGAGGGTGAGGCTTGGGCCTCATCCTGAACCACTACCTCCACCTGCCCTGCACCTGTGTCAGCGGTTTCAGACATTTTCCCTCTCAAAACAACACAACAAATAAATGAAACAGCAGGAGGTGCATCGATTTACAGTTCTCACAGACTCTTAAAATTCGTTGCACTGTCAGTTCACAGAGTAGTGTGGGTTAGTGGGCACAAGCGGTTAGGGTTGGAATAGGACCACTGGGGTCAGTAGTCAGGCTGACTGGATGTCCAGTAAAATCATGCACTAACGATTTCCTATACCTGACACTGAACTTTCACTGAAGTTGCAACATGCACTTACACAACATTCCAGGGGTCACTAGCATTCCAGAGCCCATCAGAAAGCAGAGAAGATTAGTAGTATTGATGGATACAGGCAAGAATTGACTGAAACAGCACAACAAGTAGTAGCGATGCAGTAACCTATACCCTTACAGCCCTAGACTCAAATTTCACCACTGTTGACATCAACAGAAATACCCCCTTATATGGCGAATTTCAAGATTTCACTGTAATGACCCAAATTCAGTGTTTCTGGACTTGCGCTTCAGCACTGATGACGGAAATCAAATTGTGATTCACCCCAGACTGACAGAATTCTGACGGACAGATTCTGAGTTGTGACTGACCCTAGATAGCACAGACTATAAATAGACTCAGCGCAAAACTCAAATCCACAGTATCACTACTTTTCCTACACAGAATTCACAGTATGACCATACAGGATGGAGCGCAATACTGTCATACAGCCCCAGAACAATTTTGAGTCATAACATGTCAATAGATAGTGAGATATGAGTCAGGGTAGGGAGGAAGAAGATGGATATGGCTGTCTTGCAGTCTGACAATTTCACGATTGTGACTCTACTGACAGACAGACCATCAATTCTATTTTTCACTGACTCTATACTAATCGCTACTCAGGGAGTGACACGGAACACACTCACTTGAAGTGATTGACACAGCGGATGATGAAGCCCTGGCTATGGCTGCCAGACCCTGGTCTCGCCAATAGCATGGAGATACTCTTCCACTGTCTCCCACGCGTAAAATCTCCTGAAACTTGTTGATCATGCCCAGTATAATGTGGCGATTCAGCTCCACCTCTCAGATTCACTGAATCTGGCTCAGTGGCGAGAGAATACTCTCCTGAAGTTATCTCGCCACTGCAGGTATGAGCCGCTGGTGCTAAATTTAGCCCTGAGTAGGGTTAATTTAGCAGGAGGTGATCTTGCGATCAATCCTCCCTCAGCGTCACACTGGGATTGAAGCCGCCACCCAGTTATTACTGGATTAGGGTATACTTCGCCATCCTAATCCCAGTCATCAACTGAGGTCAGAAGGGTGCATGGCGAAATACCCCTGTTCTTGCCACTTCTTGTCAGGCACTCAGACAGGCTCAGGGTGCCTGATCAATCGCAAACTGATACCCTGCAATCACCGCTTGTATATCTTCTCTTCCACTGGATCCTTACTGAAGAGGAAGAACCACCATGGCACTTCTCGCCAGTTAGTGCCAGAAAGAGAAGTTGCCCCTGTTGCGCTCAACCCTCTGAGCTCCAAGTCCAATCTCCGCTCTGATACCAACTCTTATGAACTTGGTTGTCTGACAATTTGATTGCCACTCTCACTCAGAAGAACTCACACACGCCCATACATGCATGAGACAAAGGGGAGAAGGAGAC